CCAAAAGCAGTAAAGGAACTGAGACCCTCAGTCTGGTAGTTTCCAAAAACTAAATGTTGCCAACAACTTCATGAGTTAGAATGTAGACTCTTTTCCAGTCACCTCTGGATGAGAACCCAGTTTTATCTCCCACCTTGACTGATGCTGCCGTGCAGAAGACTCCACTGGACTCTTGCCTCACAGATCCTGGGGTAATATGTGTATATAGGTTTTAGTTATTAAATTCATGGTGATGTTGTTATGCAGACATGCATAGCTAATACAATTAGGACCTCGTTCTATGATATCTTTCTAATTCAACAATGAGATTCCATTGGTTTTGTTGCAGAAACCTAAAGAAATAATTAATCTAATGAAGGTAAATTGTGAAATAAGGTGATATGAATGCTCAATGAAGTTTTAAGAAGTTTCTAAGTCTTACATAGAATTTACTCAGAAGATATAGACAATGAGATGTTTTTGATCCTTTGAATAAAGTATTTAATGAAGAATGCTTTGGACTATTTGGTGATTTCTGTCCAGGTTCACTGTACTATGACTATGAGTACTTTACAAACTATGCACTTCCATGTGTGTATATTATCTTTAATAAAAGTGGAAAAAAGTATATCTATATTGGTTTTAAATATAATTATATCATTTATATATTTCTTTTTATAAGATCTAAAATGAATACRAAGTAAATAGAATAAGGCAATTTTTTAGTTTATTTTTWAAAAATATTCATTTTTTAGTTGTAGTTGAACACAATACCTTTATTTCACTTATTTATTTTTATGTGGTGCTGAGGATCGAACCCAGTGCCTCATGCATGACAGATGAGCGCACTACCACTTGAGCCACATCCCCAGCCTCAAGGCAATTTTTGATATTACAGTAATTTTACTCCAATGTTCTTATATTCTGACATTTTTTCTTGAGACGTAAATGAACATCAGAAACCCATTAATTAAAATTATGGATAATAAATAGACAATGGATGGATAGATAATAGATACATGATTGTTAGATTTTAAAATAACACATCTTTCCTTYATTTTCTCTCTTGAAAGTAGAGTTAAGGAACACTTTGACTCACAGTTCTTCATTTTGGATCTTCCAAGTTCATACCTGCTTTTCTAGTCTAGTCTCCTGAATTCTTGTGTTAATTTAGGGTATGGATTACTTAAAAATATACTTTCTCAGTAAACCTGTGCATATGAACAATCTATCACTGGTTAATTTAATTGTATATAATCTCTTTTCATTCATTCATCTTTCCAAATATAAAATGCTGCTAGAGAATCACTGAATCTTGTTTTAGTACAGAAATGGGATCAAGATTTCATGTTTAGCAAAAGGGCTATTGCTCCACTATGTCTGATGTGTGGTCTGATATATCTTCCCACAGTTCACAGAAAAATACCAAATGCATAATATATTATTGTGGGATACTGGAAAATACACATGAATCTATATCTATAAATCATTGGTCTAAAGTCTTTATCTCTAGCTTTCTGATTCATGTTATCAATCTCCACTGAACTATARTAGAGTTATTGTGCCATTGCCCTGGGTGAAAGTAATTGATGACACCGTTGGCAGGTTCATGGCAGGGAAGGAGAAGCTGTCTAATTTTCAGACTTTGATTTCATTGGCTGTAAAGGGCAATGGAATGGAGTATATCTGCAAAAATTAGTGTGTTCCCTGTTCGGAGAATATGAGGTAGGTAAATCAGGGCTCACAGGTGTATACTCTTTGTATATTTTGCTGAAGAAAAATTTCTAATTTTCCTTTTACCTCTATATAATAGAGAATTTTGAAAATCACTACCTACCTGTTCTTTAAAATACAACTTTTATTGTGACTTCTTCATGTACCTTTTTGTACCTCATTGTCCTGTTTTTATTAATTATAAAATTGTTCATTTTAACCAAGAGAGTTGGAATTGGATGATACTGGCTCAAAGTTTTTCTCATATTTTTCAAAGGTCTAAATCCCAAAATAATTTAAATTTGGGGGGGGATTACCTTTGTATCTATTTTATTATTTACATTCATTTCAAACATATTTACAGACTACTTTAGTATATGACTGGCCATTTTTTCTTTCCTTCATTCTTTAATTTTTGTTCATTCTATTTTCTTTCGTATTAATATCTATGGAACATGTACAATACGTGTGAGGCACAGTGAGTAGCACATAYAGACCAGTAGATAAATTTGGCATATGCACTTAAGGGATGCTAGTATAAAGAAGGAAAATGTAACACATTTCATTTTCACAAACATCCCTCTGTTCCTTGGGAAAAATGGTGAGGAGGCTTGTGAGACTGAACATAGACTTTCAAACCAATGATGAATGTCCTTAAATGAAGAGGAAGCATTAGGGTACCCTAGTTTTATTTATTTTCTGGACAGAAGTAGAGCAGTAGAAACTTAGGGAACTAGTGAACTAGGAAAAATTCCAAATACATGTCCTGGACTGTATAGAGCAGTGTGGTATCACTAATATAAATTTTAGCTCAGAAATTTAAAAAGGAAAAGCCCTAAACTTCTCTAGCAAAGACTTTGAAAGACTAATATGACCCATGGAAGAATAAATTATCTGCATTCTTTCTTAAAGAGTGTCTTAGCCTAGCATATAGATCTGAAAAGTACTTGAAGGGAAATTGCGCTTCCCAAGTCATAGGAGAAGGCMCAGTGCCCACAGTGAAAGATTATCAGAGCAGAAGGGAGCCCCAGCWAAATTCTCAGAAATGAGGAAAGCCAGGGGTAGCATCTCTGAAGAAGGCACTGTCTCAAAGAGTAAGCCCATGGCCTACTTAGAGATGAAGTGAACAGAAGAAAGGGAGATAGCTAACACCTTTGAATACCTGCTATCTGACAAGYATCTATTAAGCTCCTTCCATGTATTATGTTTCTTCTTTTCTTAAACATCATCTGAAGTAAGCAGTATCTCCATATATATAAAGAAGAAGAAATGGAGGTCATACAGCATGGCCCAAAGTCACAGTCTTTAAGATAACAATCCAAGACATCTGGCTTGGTAGCTAGGAGGTTGTGTGCCCACCATCTGGTTCCTGCTCATCTTTCCAATTTTATCTTCTTGTACTCTTGCCTCACATTTTATAAGCTTCCTCAAAACCACTTCAAAAGGACAGTTTCATCTCTCTACCTTTCCCAATATTCTTGCCCATGACAAAGTGATCCTGCCTATAATCTTTCTTCATTTGGCTAAAATCTACAGGAATATCTTCTGCATTAAATCTTTGCCCTTGGATTGGCTTAGCTTCTCTGAGCTCATTGATTACTTATGAATATTTCAAATACTTTATCCCCTACTGACTTGGTGGGCGGTCCTAAACTGAATACAGTGACTGTGTCTTATTTTTCTGTGTATTAAGAGCTTGCCATGAACTGAATGTTAAAATCAGGAATAAAATCACATCTCTGTTATTTCAAAGCTTAAAAGATTAAGCATGTTCACAATAATTATGGCACAAAGTAGATAGTGAAAAGCTCCATTCAAACTAATTCAGATAAAAMAGTGGAGGACTGTTTCATCAATTTCAGTGAAAAAATGCCACTGGAATTTTGGAAGAGATTACATTGAATCCATTAATCACTTTTAATAACATGGACGTATTAACAATACCAATTCTTCTAATCCATGAATATAAGATTTTTTAATTTGTATCTTCATTTTTTCACCAATATTTTATAATTTTCAGAGTAYATATATTTCATCTCCTTGGTTAGATTTATTCCCAAGGATTTTATCATCTTTGATGTGAGTTCAAATTAGATTATTTTCTTAATTTTTTTCAGATAGTTTACTGTTAGTGTACAAAAATGTAAATAACATTTATTCATCAATTTCATGTCTTATGAACTATACTGAATTTATTGGTTTTTAGGGTTGATACATAAGATCATGTTAAGTGCAGAGAAAATTTTACTTCTTCCTTCCCAGTTTGTGAAACTTTTTTTTTTCGTGCTTAATTGCTCTGGTTAGGACTTCCAAGACTATGCTGAATAGAAGTAGTGAGAGTGTCTTGTTTCTGATCTGAAAGGAAAAGTCTTCAGAGTTTCATCTCTGAGTTTGATGATAATTGTGTTCTAGTCAGATATGGTTTTAATTATATTGAGTTATATTCCTTCTATACTTAGTTTTATTGAGAGTTTTAATAACAAAAGGCTGTTTGTTATAGTTTAGCTATGAGGTATCCCCCAAAAGCTCATGTGTGAGATAATACAAGAAAGTTTAGAGGTAAAATGATTGGGTTAGGAGAGCCTTCACCTGATGAGTGCATTAATACCCTGATAAGGATTAACTGGGTGGTAACTGTAGGCAGGTAGGGTGAAGGAGGTGGGTTTTGGGGTATGTGTCTATAAGGTATATATTTTGTCTCTAGAGAGCACAATGTTCTCTTTCTGCTTCTTGATGCCCTGAACTGACTTGCTTTCCTCTGATCTACCCTTCCACCTTGATGTTCTACCTCAGCTTGGACCTAGAGCTATGGAGTCAGCTGTCTGTGAACTGAGACCTCTGAAACTGTGAGACCCAACTAAACTTCTYTTCCTTTATGTTGTTCTTGTCAGTTCCTTTGGTCATAGTGATGTAAAATCTGACTAAAAAATGTTGAAGTKTGTCAAATGCTATTTTCTATATTTATTGGAAAGATCATGTGGCTTTTGTCCCTCACTCTCTTGACATGTTTTATTTA